ATATTCCCGTCAGCCCGTCGATTTATCAAACTTAAGTATTTTTACATTAGACTACTGCCGGTGTACGGCCAAGAGGTCTACTTGGTGTTGTCAAGATAATTGTAGTTTAACTCGAAGTGAACATGGGATGCTTCCACCGTTGCGGGAATCTGCTAACGAGACGCAGAACGGTCTATATTACTTGGACAGAAATACTTTTCAGTCTTATTGAAACGAATGACTGACGTGGGTTCTGTATGTATACGTTTAAATTAGCAATACACTTTAATGCCTGAGAATTCCTCTGTAAAAAAAGTGCAGCGAGGTTAGGTATCATAGGAGAATACTTGATCACTTGGATGTCACCAGGAGTGGCATGTAATGACCACGGAGAGGCACAGGCTCAAAAGCGAAATGATATATTCTCAAACGTTGGCGGCGCAATATGCAGCCCACGAGGTCGAGTTCAGCTTGGTCTCGGACTTCACGATCAGCTCGACTCGTGGTTCGTGGGTCGGCCGCTCGAACGCAGGGAACGTATAACCGGTTATCGCTGGTAGTAAGGCCAAAAAAATACTCAGTCTATGGTCAGACCAAGTTCTAGAATTGATTTGGCGATGCGGATTTTTTTTTTTTTTTTTTGAGCGGGGTGAAGGGATTGTTGTTAATCAGCTGCAACTTAGTAACCTACTCGTGGTCTACTGTTTGTGTTCAACATTACGCAGTCGTAACAGATCTATCACCGGGCACGAGCTACCCACAATTTAGTCTGGTTCCTGGAACAAATTGCCCTTCTGACTTGTGAGCTTGTGGCCGGGAATCAGTCTACTCGCAAACATTCAGGTGGTGCGGGAATAGAGGGCGCTGTTTTGAAAATTTTGAGGAAAAAAGGGGGAAAATCGACGGGCACGTTCAAAATCGACGAGTGCGCTGACAGGGACCGACTTTTTTTACCTTAGTGAGAAGCAATATGCAACATGACAGCATCCATGTACGTTTGTCGAGGGTTTATGTTTGGATAACTAGACTGAGTCTATCCTATTTCAAAAGGAACATTCATTTCTGTGTTACGGAAAATAATTTATGTTAAATTTATAAAACTTCCCATTGTTTCTGGCTTTGTAGGCCATCTCGCTCAAAAATCAAAATCAGGAGTTTTTCCCTGTGTTCCTGTAAAAGCCTGACAAGGAGGTGGTGTGTGTGATCCTGTACCAAGAATAGTGTTCTTGTCGTGTTCCCACTGTTCGAGAGCGGAAAAGAAGAAACCCAAGTCAAGAACACACCCCCCCCCGAACTCGACTCTCATGTCTGTGCTCTCAAGCAACCACGCGCAGAAGATAACCAATTTCAAAATGTGAGGACGCCCTACCGAAATACCGTAACCAGGGAGCTCAAGGAGCGTTTGCCGTTTGGATCCCTGATGACTTGGGAATTCAGCTCGACACAGATCTTTGTTCTGCTCCAAGAACAAGGATCCAGGAAATGAAATTTTCTTGGAATCACTTTTTGTGTATCTCTGTATTCTTCTTCCATGTGTGAAGACTGTTTGACACATTTTTTTTAGTTTACGTGAACTGAAAGGTGCGCTTTTTCAAACATTAAAAATTGACCAAGCATTTCTGGACAAGTGAGGGCGCTTTTGCTTTGATGTAAATCCAGGAAGACATGGTTCCGGTTGCGTGTTTTCGTGTTCAAATTGTGAACCCCAAATTTGCTATCTGGGAACATTTCTGTGAAAAGGATTTTTGCTGGACTATTGCCATATACTTACACTTGCCATGGTCCGAACACCTGAAATCACTGAGAGAAGTGCTAAGACGCGTCTGCGTGGTGCAAACCTCACGGCAAACCTTCAAAATGAATGGTTGGCCACGTAAAGATCGAATTCCTTGGGCATCTGATTGGGAATGGACAACTGCAACCTCATCCAGAAAAGCTAGACAAGATTAAGAATGCTCCGCGACCTGAGCTCTTTCCTCGGACTAGCTAGCTATTACCGAAAGTTCATGGCCAACTTTGCAGCCATAGCCGCCCTTCTGACAGATCGTACCAAGTCAAAGGAACCAAACAGAATTAGATGGGAGGAGAGTCATGAGATCGCTTTCTCAACGCTCAAGAAGAATCTCACCATTGAGCCGATTCTCCATCTGAATGACCTGTCGAAAACATTCATCCTCAGGACAGGTGCATCCGACAAAGGGCTTGGAGCTGTCCTATTGCAACTAAACAATGGGGAGAAATTCCCAGTTGCATATGCCACTAAGAAGCTTCTGTCGAGAGAACTTGCTTACTCCACCACGGAAGGAGAGTGTTTAGCCGTAGTCTGGGGTATTCGTCACTTTCAAACCTATCTCGAAGGGAGACAATTCAGTCTCAAGATGGACCATAAACCATTGGTGTACCTTCAGAAGGCTAAACACATCATTAGCCGTATTATGAGATGGGCGTTGTCCCTTCAGCCCTTTAGATATAGATTAGAGTCAATCCGAGGAGTTGATAATGTTGGAGCTGACTACCTAAGCAGGGCCATAGTCTAAGCCTCTGAATCATTCAGTGTTCTGCTGCACGGTCAACTTATTGGAGAAAACAAGGATTTTTCTCATAGAAAGGGGGCTATAATGTCAGCATCGTCCGAGCACAGTTCCTGCAATGCTTCAGTAAACAACTTGTGTCCCGTGTTGTAGACTGTGCTGCATGTGTGTATTGAGCGTGTTCGTTGTATGCCCAGATAGTATGTGTACGGTAAGAACTAATAAATAATGCATGATTCCGGATGAATATTTATATAGCCATGGTCTGGTCTTTTATATCATTTGGGCGTTCAGAGGATTGTCTTCTGAACAGTGAAGTCATGTGATCAAACCCCGCGGATTTTAAAATAAAAAATATACGCCACTCTAACATCGATCGCGATCGGAAGCTTTGCAAACTATGGTTTCGTAAGCTTGCAGATATTATTTAAAAACGCTGATGACCAGGTTTTGGGCCGGCGGTGGGCTCCAGGAGCAATAACCGATATCTCTGCCAGCAGACCGTAAGTTTGAGCTTACTGGTATTACTTTCCTGTACAGTTTGTGTCACTTTAAACACTGAACGGCAGTCATATTATTATCTAAAGATCCTTACTCGTCTTAATGAGGCATCATAATGATACTTGGACAGTCAAACTTGTTTAATTTTAGTGTGCATCTTTTATAAGGTACGTGAAGCCTTAATGAAGCTTTGATCAGCCTTGATTAATTATTATATAATATTTATGACATCTTGTAACGAAGGCAGGCGATCAAACCCCCTTTTGCTTCCTTTATGAAAAGAAGTGGCTATTTATAGGGTCTACATATCATTATCGTTTGCTGCGAAAATTGCAGATGGCAAGTTTGCCTAGATAGGGGCAATCCTCTGACTGTCCGTGCTGGGCGAGGCAGACATGCCCGCGACCAGCCGAGTCGTCCCTACCTTGTGAAAGCACCGTCCGTTTCGCGAGGCAGACAGGCCCGTGACGAGTAACAGCCCAGACAAGAACTTCTGGCTGTTCGGTGACGGTTGCCCTTATTCCAGCCTACTTATCTGGAGGTAGCGTTATAGGGACATCTGAACAGTCAAGAGGGAGGCCCTCATCACAAGAACTCAAAACCAAATGGAAACTGACTTAAACACCGACAACGGTGGGCCCATTCGTATTTTCTTTTGCCAGCTAGATTAGGATTATTTACCGTATATCTATTCAGTAATTACTGTGGTATTCATTCATTAATTTCTCATGGATTAGGATTACTTTCTTCGCTTTTCTATACATTCCATTAAGAGACCTTTATATTATTATTTTATAAGTTTCCAGGGTAAGAATATTACTTCGGGCTGAGGTTTGTTTGAAACGATTTAATAACTAGATCAGTGACTCCGACCGATTTGGATATAATATTATAATATATAGACTATAACAGGTCTAAAGACCAATTTAGTTCCTTAATTAATGGAAATCACCTTCGGCTGTTTGGATTTACCCTGGGTAAATAAAAGAATAATAATAATAATCGTCAACACTGACACCATTTTTCTTGAGCTGACTTAAAATAAACAGCCGTCTAGATGCATTAGTAACAAGACTGGTAACCTGCTGATCCCATTTTAAATCATTTTGGATAATTATTCCAAGTAATTTCGTTGATGTAACAAGTTGGAGTTGATTTTCATTAATTTTTATATTAGGTTGAGGTGGTATTAAGTAACGTAAGAACGAGACCTGCATGATTTTACCTTTTTGAGGATTGAGCTTCATATTATTAGTCTCACACCATTCAACAATTGAATGCTCAATGTTCTGCATATCTGAATTCTGATTTTTACAAATCACTTCAAGTAAGGTGACGTCATCCACATTATTTCCAGTGATTAGCCAACACATAAGCTACATCATTAACCATTGCCAAGAAAATAATTGGCCCCAGTTTTGTACCTTGGGGAACACCACGTGTGAGTCTAATATCTCTTGAGGTGGCTCCATGATATCGGACAGTTGGTGAACGGTCACCTAAAAAGCTACACAATGGGTATAATGGAGCGATCAACGCCAAGCTGAATTAGTTTCTCTACTGCAATCGTATGGTTTATACGATCAAAAGCTTTACTAAATCAAAAGAGCAAATATTTACATGATTCCCAGGTTTGTCTAAATTCTTATGGATTGTATTGAGCATGCTGATTAAATAATGCTCCACAGAACAACCTTTCATGTTGTCAAATTGTTGCACATCAATGGAATATCGAATATCATCCGTTACCCATTGTGCCAGAAAACCTTCGAATAACCGTGATATAACCAAAGTCATTGAAATTGGTCGCAGCTGATGAAAAGTGCTGACAGGATTAACCTTAGGAATTGGACAGACAGATGCTTTTTTCCAAATTTTTAGAAACCATCCCACTTTTAGGCATGCATTGAATATATGGGTATTGGAATCGACATCTCATAGGCAAACTCTTGAAATAATCGTGTAGGACAATCATGAGGATGCCCTGCTTTAGAAGTATTCAGCCTTGATAAGCTTGAGTAAACCTGCTGCCGTGATATCACTGGGGGTGATGAACAAGCTGGTAAATATGGAGTTAACAAGCTTATATCAAGGGCTGGGAGGCTGCAACCGATCTTTGAAAAGTGCAGGTTAATATTAGCCAATTCAACAGGCATTTTATCGGTATCCGGAAAGTGGACATGAGATTTCGTTTGCCCAGTAAGATGTCGGATCTGCTCATACCATTTTCCTGGTTCCAATCTCTTTAAGTGTTCAATTTTACGCCCATAAAAGTTTTGTTTTGCCTCACAAATGGCAATCTGGACCTGGTTCCGTAACCGTTTATAATCTCTTTTCTGCTTAAAGGTTGCATCATGTTGCGCCATCAACCTCCGGATATGATTATTCATCCAAGGTTTATCATTACGTCGCTTTTTCATAAGAACAGATGGAAAATGGTTCTTATACTGATTAATAACTAATTGATGAAATTTCCCAGCAATGTCATCAGGGTCATCGCAGTAAAGCATGGACCAATCTTCCTCAGTTATCCATTGCCCGAATTCCCGTACAGATAAATCACTGTAAGGTCGAAATGAGATCCGTGTATGGGGTTGATCGGTGCAATAGTATTATGCGAATGATAACAAACAGTTGAGTGGTCACTTAATGAGACCGGTGCTAAGGTAGTTGGTTCCATATAAAAATTGCCAAGATCAGTCAATATCTTGTCTAAAACAGCGTTTCCTCTTGTTGGTTGCTTGACGACTTGATCCAGTAGAGTATGGAGCTGAAGGACATCCGAGTCCAAGTCGTTAACATCACCCATTATTATACAGGTTGGGTTATCCACAGCAGACCGTATAACGTCGACCATGTTTATGATATGCTTATTTTAAAACCTCCTTATACTGAGAGCGGGGTGGTGAATACAAAATACATATGTAAACTTTCTTTAATAGGTGCGTCAGTTTGGAAGGTTTTAAATGCAGCCACATTACCTCAAGGTTATCAGGAATACGTTCAGTGAAGTCTTCTCTGCAACACCCCCCCAATCCTACCTTCTCTGTCTCGATGAAACCGACGATATGAGAGTAACGGATACGAACTGGCTGGATTTGCCATTGAGAACCAAGTCTCTGTAATTGCTATGAGATGAACAGGGTCACGCTGGCAATCCAGAATGGCTTCAAAGTCATTAAACTTGTTGGCTAATGACCTTGCATTAAACAGCATTACATCAGGTAGGCATGGTTTCGGGTGGCTGGTTTGTATATTAATGAGAGCTGATCTGCTAAGCAGGTGGGTCACAGCTTTCAGTTGTCGCTGGGATGATAACACAAGGATATTACACCGTTGGCGAATATCTCTGTGTTGATTCCTTCGTCCTCATCGTTTTTCCAAGTATTTCAGGATACAAATAGATTTCAGATTCTCCAGTAACGAACGGCAAGGAGGCACTCCAGAGCTACGGATAATATTGGAAATATATTGGATATGTTGGAAATGTGTATTACAACTTCGACGGTGATCAGAAGTCCGTATAGTTGATAAAGGGCCAGGATTACTTTGAATGTCCGTGTATATAGTGATCTCCATTGGTGGGTCAAAACCAGGAGTTAATAAACAAAGCTGTCCGTGCTTAATCCATTTATTCACCGCAGCTTTAGTGTTACAGAACCCATACCTAGTAATCACACCATTTTTTCCAGTTTTGGGCTTTAAAGTTCCAAATTAACATGGAAGTGTCTAGATGACAGGTAAAGTGTTTACTTACCAGTCTCAAGTGTTGTGAAGGCGAGCAATGGTGGTGAAAAACTACTAACGAAGTACATAACTGGAGACAACCCATCAGGCTCCGCAACACATCCGCCATATTGCACTTTCCTCACTACAGTTCAGATCAGCAAACTAATCCACTCCCATCCAGACCCCAGCGGCAAAAAGAAATAAAAAAAAACATGGGGCAGCAGCACAAAGAACACTGGGCAGACAAATATCACACAAATTGGTACAGCAATCAGTTAAAATAAACAGACGAAGAAGACGGAGTAAAAAAACCAAGCCAACAGCCCCAAGAGCGCCCTCTCTACGTAATACTGTAATTATGTAAGACTTCATTTTAAACAGGAATGTTAACCTTTCCCACAACCTTAGCTTGGATACGTTTTGTCACTTTTGACGAGTATATACGTTGTGCACATGTTTTTGACCAACCAGCAGAATACATTTGTAAATAATGCATGTGTTGATTGTACTACTCTTGATAGCTGCAAGAACATCAACACATTTGCTCTAATTCAGTAAAAACGACACTGCTATATAACGCATATTCATCGTACGCAGATATTTGTCCAATATTTAAAGTCAATCTTATAACTGTTCTGCATATCCTAGTGATAATGATGTGAACTTCTCGGGTGTCCATTTAGAGACACCAGATATTTCGCGAACACGCAATGCATCGATTCCTGCAAAGAATTTTTCTTGGCCGTTCCGCAATTGTATACTCTTTTCCAACGTATTGACAACAATTTGACATCCCTTTTCAGGTAATTATATTTAAAAGAGCAAATTTTGAAACATTAAAAATTGCCCATGCTTTCCTGGACAACTGAGGGCACTGTTGCCGTGAAGTCATCTGTGAAAGACATGTTTCAGTGCATACTTTTTTCTGTGTTCAAATTGTGAACCCAACATTAATTCAATGGAACATTTCATTCTCGCTGACATAAACAACAATGAATCACGCAAGGAAAAAGATGAGGTCAGCAAGTAACTGGTAGTTAACAAAGCGTGTGCCCATTTGCCTTCCATGGTTTTAATACTTTTTGATCTTGGATCCGCCCATGTTCATGTCACGATCAAAGAGCAGCGCAAGCAGTCACCTGTATATGCGGGGGGAGGGGTTTGCGCGTGATGTGCGCACAACGGTCTGTAAGCCTATTCCATTCATTAAAAGGGGGTGTTCATAAGGAAATGTTTCGTTTAAAGTTCCAATCTCCTGCGTTTCCATTATCTACAAGGATTCTTGAAGAAATTGTTCTATTTTCAATATGTACACCAGCTTTTGTTTCATGGAGATTCTAGAAAAGGATTCCCATGTCAGCTTCTCGGTCCAGCTATGGATCCTGCGTGCAAATACGTTTATAATACACACGCTGTGCTGTGATCTCCTCAAAATTAACACCGTAAATTCCATGCATAACAAAGATTAAATTTGTAAAACTCCCACGTTCAACATTGATTTTTTAATCTTCCCAACTGAAGTCGTTTAAAGGCAATCCTTCCCTTCAACATGACCCTTTTTCCACTACATAAAAAATGAGTGATGCGTCCCATTCAAATTTTGTCCATTGCTTTTGGGAACGCGTATAGTCAACAAATTCTTCACGTTCGATCAAAACTTAGTCGAGTGGTTCAGGAGTTACCTTTCAAATCATCAACAATTCGTATCTGTTAATGGTACTCACTCCTCTGTCGTTACAGTGCCTCACGGAGTTCCGCAAGGATCCATCCTGGGGCCACTTTTATTTTCCATCTATATATATGACTTTATTAAATCTTCTGACTTGTTTACCTTTATTTTATTTGCTGATGACAGTAACCTATTCTATAGTCACCCTAACATCAATACTCTTTATCGTAATGTTAATCTCGAGCTTACTAAAGTTTCAAACTGGCTTAAAGCAAATAGGTTGTCTCTTAATATTAAGAAGACTAACTATATGCTGTTAAATAAGTAAAAAGCAACAGTACGAAGTACCTGTAATCTTTATTGATGATGTACAAATTGAAAAATCCGACTGTGTCAAATTCTTAAATCTGTATATGGAACAGAATTTTTCATGGAAAAATAATAATATTTGCACGACTGTTTAAAAAAAAATTGGAGTAAATTAAGCCACTCCTCCCTCAGAATGTACTATTTAAACTTTATAATACTTTCATTGTACCATATCTATCATATGGGTTATTAGCCTGGGGTAATTGTGAGGTTAGTTTAAGCAATAGAATACTGAAACTGCAAAAAAAGAGTTTTAAGAATGATCCACTCTGCCGCCTACCTTGAACATAGCAGTCCGCTGTTTTATTTGTACAAAACTCTTAAAGTAAATGATATATATTTCCTTCAGCTTGGGATCCTCATGCACCAGTTAAACACCAAAAAATTACCTAAATCCGTTTGTTCTATGTTTATCAAAAATGAAGAAGTGCATCATCATTTCACCAGACAGCACATGGAACTTCATCATTCTTTTGCACGTACTACTCTTACACAAAATACAGTCAAGCAAGAGGGCCCCAGGCTGTGGAATTCCCTAGACACCTCTTAGAGAACCTACAAACATTCAAGCGTAAATATAAAGCTAAACTACTAAATGGGTATTCAAATTCTACTCAACACCATTTAATTTTTGTGCCTTACAGGGTTACAAGGCTTAGTGTTTACGTGTCCTACTTTCTTCTTGTTTAATTGTTTGTCGTAACTATTGTATTGATCGTAATATTGTGTATTGTTCCTAATGGGATCCCTACGCGACAAGCACTGCTCTTATGGGATCCCATCCACAACCATTTTCCTTTTTGTCATACGTTTACCGTCTATAATTAGGTGGAAAAATAAAGAATGAATAAATGAAACTTACAGCGCGTGGAGATGAGATGCAGGACCACAACCAACCGTCGCACACAAATGCGTGTGCGGGCAACGCGTTGGCAAGTTAGCACGGTACGGTCAAAAAGGAATTGCAGGTAAATATCTCTCCCGAAGACAACTTTGATCTCGAAAATCAACTTTTCTCATATAAGTGAGAGTCCCATATAAGAAATATATCATACGGGTTAAACACTCCGAGTCACAGTTGAATTGTCGGCTGTTCCTGGATCGTGGTCCATGTTCACGCAGCTAAGAAACTAAGGATATGCACGCCATCGCTTCACAATACTGAATGAAAAGAGTTTGAACGTAGGGGGCACTGTTCGCACAACACCCTCCCGTCCCCCCCCCCATGCACAAATCATGCGTGCGCGCATTTTAGCAATGAAGGCAACGAACTTTATAGAGTATAAAACAAGAGCTCCACGGAAAGTTTAGGTGAGACGTTTGAAAATTGACGCACGAAACAGTTGAGCCACGACATCTTCCCGTTCGTTTAAGATCAGCATAGAAATTACAATTCCGTCACAACCTCGTCGTTTACTTTCAGAACACATTTAGGGCAAGCCGCAAAAAATGATGGCGCTGAAGTGCTCAGCTGAGTAACTGTAAAGTGCAATGTGGTCGTGTAACTCGAGAAGTGATGGTAACTGAGGCAGAGTGTGGGTTGTAGGCCAGCCCTTTGTGTGGCAAGGTGTGTCCTCAGGCAAGACACATCGCCGCAATTGCTTGTACCGTCCCAGGAATAACCTGGGAAGATGGCGTACCATTGTGTTTGGCTAGTAGTTTGCAAGGAAATGGCAACATCGAGTTATACAGTCCTTGGGATGTTACAGAGATCCTTGATATGTTTGTGGGCCCGATGAGCAGGGGTAATAACGATTGGCACAATGATCAGCTAATTCAGTAGTCTGTGATAATTCAAATGCAGTTTCGTCATTTACTATGGTAGATGCAACTCTGTATGCAATTGTGACGTATTTGTAGGTTTAATGACAACGACTCTAATGTTTGCAGGATTTTCACGCACATTGGTTCTCAAAAATGTCGCTGTGGAAAATATTGTGCGCAACCACTTCCAACAAGAGCGCATTGTTTTCTTGAAAGCTTCTCGAAACGTGGCGTTCAGACCGCAATAAATCCATGGGTTACAGGCTGAATTTGCATACAGGAAACAGGTAGTCAGCATCTCAGTGGCAGCAACTGGCGTGAACGCCCTAAAGAGGATGGAAAGTACGTGAGTACAGCAGAAGGGGGCCCAGGTGATGCCATAGACCCCTAGCACGAGAGTAATCGTGGTGGTAGTGCGAAACCTCTCCACTTTCTGGCCGGTGAAACCCTGCGCAATACGGAGCACCAGGGCGTGGATGATACTGCGACGCCTTCTGACCGCTCGGAAGATGCAGAAGTACATGAACACCATATTGACAAAGGTGGTGAAAAAGACTAAAAAGACGAACACGAGGGTGAAAGTGTGCCCTTCTGGCCAACACACGAACTGGTGAGGTGAGTACAGGTACTGACCCAAACCCAGAAATGGTAGCACTGCCACGGTGACGGCCAAAAGCCAGATTACAACCATGTACTTGACCACCGTCTCGACCGTGATCATGTGCATGTGTTTCAAGGGGTAGGCAATTGCTACGTAGCGCTCGTAACTCAGAGCAAACAGAGTGAACGAAGATCCAGAGAGACTCAGCACTCGCATGAACCCAACGGCCTGGCAGAAAACTGCCGAGTCTGGACTCCCTTGAGGACTGAGTGAGTCGTTGGAGGGGTTGACCACGTAGGGCAGAACAAAGCATCCAAGTGTGAGATCAAGCACTGCGAGATTGACCAAAAGGAGCCGCACCGTCGCCCTGAGTTGTCCTGCTCGTCCTAGCACGAGCAACACGAGCAAGTTTCCTGTGACCGTCAAAATCAGAAAAGATGTACTGAGCACCATGGAGATGCTCACTGCTATCCCTCGATCGTCTTGCTGGGATTCCATCGCAAAAATGCCTTCGACGGAGTGCAGGCAACTCTGTAGAAGAGGCAAGCTACTTGCGGTATAGAGAAAGAAAACATTGACTGGTTGGCTTCGGTTTTAGCTCAATGGAAGTAACCCGTTCAAGTTTCATTCTGTGAAACTCAGTGAAAAGAAATGCACCCAGCAAAGCCGTCGTCCGGGTAACACGCATAATTCCACAGACTGTAGTCCACTAAAAAAAAACTTCCCGACGTTGCCAGTGTCTGCTGGAAAATCAAAAAGGAAACTGAAATGCATCATCATCAGTGTCTGTTCTGGATGTGGAAATGTCTTCCCTCGTGGACAGTATTGGAGGGAAACAAATCCAGCATTAGTTCCCCGTAAAAGGATTGTAGCAGCGATAGTGCATTTCCATTATCCGTTTGGTGGAAGGCTTTGCTGGTAAATTGCCTACTCCCGCTTTTCCTCACACTATATTCACCATGGTAACCGCGGATTCATAATCAGCAGTAACCGATGTTCCAAACCCAGTAAATCTCTGACACCTTGGTTTTATCTTGGTGACCAGGTGCGTGCCGTACAACACTTTCAATCACATTTTCTTACGTGTGCAATCCAAGAAGACTATATAACATGAGAGTTCTTTCCTGTGCAATGATTTCTCTTGTTTGATGTTTTGAAGGAGATCTGACAGGCGAACGAACCTCAGGAAAAATAAATAATATACCTCAGCGGCCCGTGACAAGCATTTCTCGGAGAGCCTGAGTTAATTACTTGATAAGGGAATTCAATTACAACACAAAAAAGCCATGTTTAAATAAGTGGATGGCAGTTGCCATGGTGATTTTTGCATTCATTAGTCTGACGCACGAGCTTTTCACAAAACTCACGGGACATACGCATCTCTCGGGATGTAGCGTTCTATCAACACGCGCGCATCCTAAGTTACAAGCCGAAAACAATTCCGAAGTGCACTTGAACGCGACATGTCAGGACAAAGCAAACTGAGACAGAAAAGGACGTTTAAGCCACAGTGATTGGATTTTCCCGAGAGCAAATCTGCAGACTTGTAATAAACCTGTGTATATTTACAGGCCAGGAGTGGCTGCAAAAACTATTGGCTGTACAAAGAAGCTGAAATTGAAAGTTGCAGGTAGGTAACTACCATGCAGCAGAATCTAAAGATAAATTCAAAACAATCAGGAAAAGTTAAAAACTTCCAAGAGGGCAAATCTCAAAGCCCATTTCACCATATTTTTCTTGGGTTCATTTCTTGGATAGTGATTCCGATCGATGACTTCAATTTTACAAGAACTTTTCCTTCTGAAGATAGTCTCAAAGTTAAATTAATCGTCAATTTAGACAAAATGTTGCGTGCACTTAATTGCTAAAAAGAGCTATTTCAGGCCGCAGCTTTCTTACTTCATTTCACACAAAGCTCCTAGATCGATGGCCACAAAAGGCTCTCAAAAACGGAGTCTACGTGCAAGGACATTACCATTTCGTTGGCTTTGGCAACTGAAGGCTGTTTACCGACTGGCAGCATAAAAAGAGGATACGGTAAACCTGACAGGACACGTTATCTTTTCCATTTTTCACAAAATTTACGATATGGACTTATTCGAAATATTTCTATGCAAAACCCCTCTAAGTATCCAAATTCTTTTTGTGCAATACAACTAACGTGCCCAGCCTTTTAATCGAACGCCCTCACACGAACTGGTCCCGGGACGGATTCTACGGTGGCCTGAATCGAACATGTGGTCCTTCTCCGAAATAACCAATGTTCCACAGTTGAGATATCTTGTCACTTCCACCCCTGAAAGTTTGAGACATCTATCTATAGCAACTCTCCTGTTGTTGATCGCACAAAGTTATCGGGATCCACTGGTACTTTTCAGCAAGTGTAAATCCGACGTGGTCATGTCTTTCCACCTTTAGTGTGAACTTTTCACCTTCACCAAGCGTTCGTATACCCCGTTTTTCACAGTGCATTGTGTAATCCCTTAGAGTCAATACACGTGCACTCGTGGAACCACGCTTCAATCACCGAAATCATATCACTGAGATCAAGAGGTCTTTCGGAAAATTGCCTGGATTACGCCAGAAATGATTACGGAAAAGCCGGTGCTACACCTGATCATACTGCACTGAGCACGCGAGGAACGGATCGTTATGAGTTATGTTTGGCATTAGTGTCTTGGTTTAGGCATGAATATATTATTAACTATTTCCTGACTTATTGTGCAAACAATAGCTTTTCAAATCAAATTGAATCTTGGGCATTTAAAAAAATCTCTGTGGACTTGAATGATATCAGTAACAAAAAAAACTGAGTGCATGTAATTGACAAAGTTGAAAGACTTGTTTATGTTTTTCAGGAATTTATCAATAAATCCTCAATGCTTAACACGATTCCCTTGCCTGACAAATGAATCCTACGTCCTTCAGTGAAAGAGTGTTCACCCATGTTCTCATCATCTCACATAATTTGTTCCAGGCAAAACATTTACCAAATTTTGTGAAGGTTAGTTTCAACAGCTGTCCTTTACTGATGTGAGAACCATTTTAAAGAAATTCCGAGGTGATATAAAATCTGCGATATCCATAAGAATGGAGTGACTCAAGGTCTGTCGGTTTTTAAGGTGAAATGAATATAGGTCAGTCAATTTATCCCATGGCTCCAAACTGTTCTTTTCTTAATCTGCACAAATGAGCCTCGGTTTTGGCTCCATCTCGTTTTTTCCGTCAGTCATCCGTGATGGGCAATTTCATTGGCTAGCTATTCGACACGAGAGACAAGGATGGGGAAAATTAACCCTAGAGTCCAACGTTAGCAATTTGATCTTCCTCACGCAAAATGAGAAAAAAAATGAGATTGATACCCTATGGTATGAACGAAAGCTTTTCAACGGCTATGTATTTTCCAGTTGTCTCACTGGACACGAGAAGCGAACTCGTCACATTCATTAGGATAAATTTATGGAAGTAAAAGAAGCTGCCATTGATATAAGATTATTGGCAGCATGCCAGCGTCTGTGTGCCTCGTGCACTATGGATAAAAATGATGGGATAAAAGTAATAGTAATGCAAACTTTTTATTTCATTTCTTCAATTCATTTGGCCCCTAATTCGTTTCTTTATTAAAGCTGGTCACACTTCAGGCAGCGAAACTCGCCGGAGCTGATACGTGATTAACTTGTTTCCCCAAATCGCCATTTTCGCCACCAGACACTTGCGCGAAACATTTCGTTGCTCTGCAAACACAGCGAGATTCTCATAGGTTTGTTCGTGAAACGTCCAAGAATTCAATTCAGGCAGCAAATTCTAAAGTTGGCATCACAACCGAGTCATGAGCCAAGGGGGCAGGTCAGAGCAGCCCGTATACATGTATATTGCAGGGCACCGGTAACAAAACAAGCGACAACGTGTAGTACAAACACAGCGGCGTACACAAGAGGTCTCATTTTATTGCAAATCAACCATCTAAATTGTTCCTTGCGCCAGACATTCAGGATGCACATTGTAAAATGCTTGAGCAGTGAGACAGTTCAAGAGATGGGCTAACCTTGAAAATGAATTTGTGTCGCGAAGGCCGATTTAAGCCTATACTAGATTACTTCTACACAAGTAAATATCGACTTCAACCTGCGGGTCACGCCATCAGTTCGTGTTTCCGCTGAATGGGGCAGCATCGTGTGACCTCTGTACTACTGCATTTTATTAATCGTGTGAATCGACTTTTATCATGGGGGGGCATATGTTTAGTTTAACCATCATTGTATTATAATGATGGAAATTACCCTGATTATGGAATCGCTAAATGGAACCCATTTCAAACTTCAAAATTGGTGAATAGAGCCGTAGTTTCTTCCTCGACAGCTCTCTACCTCAGTCCCTCCATTTTCAAAATATTTTTAGATTCCCCTGAGTGATCAAGAACAGTGCATAGTTTGGCATACTTCCAGCACGAAGCGTATTGTTGAGTTTATATATGTTTGAATTTATCTTGGGTGTCTCGTATACAAGACCAGATCCGAAGTTTCGGAGGCCAGATTTGTTTAGGAGCCCAAATTTAGAAATAAATATTTAAAAAAAAACCTTCCTGGCCTTTCTGAGACATGAAGCTAAAATTGGAGATTGCTGTAAACATTGGGTTGGAGGGGAAAGAGATAACCCCAGAATTGGCTTTCTCTCAGTTTTAGAAGAAAAAAAATTCTCCCTTTGACCCCATACTCCCTGATCAGCCGATGTACATGTACTCGTGATTTTTTTCTGTATTCGCACAAATTTTTACACTGCAAAAAGTTGTTTAGAATTAGTTAACCACACTTTCGAACAATTTCCCACTCTGTTGGCAACTGTTTTTAATTTTTTTTATGTTAAACACTAAACATGTTTGCAATACCGATGGTCAGTTTTCAGCAAGTTGAGCTTAGATGTTGAGGAATTGCAGACAAAATAATGTTTAGCTTGTCATGATAGAAAATTGTTTTTTAATCCCATTGTTGTCATGTTGTTTGTGCATGTACCGATGAAATAATGCTTACATTGATGAAACATTTGGCGTATTCTTTAAAAAGGGACTTTTCAAGGGTTGTGCAAACAGGTACCCTGAAAAAAAAACTTTTAAAATTCCAAGCAAACTTCCTCATCACAAGAAAAAGCAGCCCCAGTACTCTCTTAATAACACAACTAAGCAAAACGTATTTTGTTTTCGGCTTCATGCAAAGAAGGATGTACAAACGAGCTCGGAGAAACTGACCCTCACGTCCTATGTATAGAATGTTTACTTGCAAAATATATCTCTCGCTGTGTATTGTAACCAGTTCAAATACTGTGCTCAGTTATTGTTATTAAGATATCGACTGAATGCCCCATTTTGAATTGCCCAGTAACTTTGTCGGTATTGTAAAAATCTGGCGTTACGTGTGGTATGATTTACTGTGGTTGTAGAACTATCACATGCACACCACATGGAAGGACTTAAGTGAACTTCAGCAGGGCGGTGCCGTTAAGGTTAAGCCAAACACCAGGGGCAAATGTGATCCGATATCATTCAAGTTCAGAAATAGAACCGGTGTATGCAATATGCAGGTCAAAATACACATTTTTGACGTGTGCGTGTGAAACGTGCTTCGTGGCAGCTTGATTTTTAACCAGAAAAATGAAACTAAAGTTCAAAAGCCTATCATACATTCGGTGTGATGGTTGAAATCTATATAGGCCTAAGCAAAAGCAGATTATAAAGTCGCACTTAATGGAAGTGATCACCTACTTCACATGTACGACCTAAGTAAGGTTTACGTCGTGAACACCGCGATTCCTTGAATATTAAATCATGCACCAGTGAGTGATGAAGTACCGGCACTAATGTGAGTGATCACTTTTTTAAGTGTCCCACACGCTGTGCCATTCTTTTTATTCGGTGATAAATTTACTTTTTGCCACTTTGAGATTAAATCACAAGATGAGGCTTTGAAGTCACTATAAGTAATAGTACGGTACATTTAGTCCCTCGGTATCGTTTCGACGTTGCATTTACAATCCAGATGGCTTCCCGAGTTCAGTGAAGTATACAAGTCTTGGTTCTAGGAGAGCAAATTTGGACCTTTTTTCATAAAAACGATTGTCCTTTTTTTTAATCTGTGAAAAATCCAATCCTAAATAAAGCAGGAAGCACTGTTTCTAAAATGCTGGCAATGTCAATTCCTTCCACATATTTGGTAAAAATGTCTGGAAGGGGGAACTTCCCCCTCCCCATGCGCCCAGTAAGAGTTCGCTCGTATCAGGGATCCAATTTCGCTCTGAAATTTCCCCTTTGCTTGACAATCCACAGAAATGTGAAAGGACACTCCATGAAGCAGCCCGACGTCGTAGAACAGGACCGCCTCCGGACGAAATAAGCACCAATGGTCCTTGCCATGCTTCCCCGTTATAAGATGACATGCGAACATGTAAACCAAACTTCTTTCTTGCCGAAACCGAGGTTTTTCGACATTTCGACACCATTACTGCAAAGTCTGGATGTGCTGTTTTCGTGACACGTCAAGCTTTAAAGGGTATTAAAAATCTTAAAGTTTTTACCTAAACCGTGCGCAGGGAAATGTGGTCACAGTTACACAGACAAGGGTGTCGAGTTCATGTAAGAGTGATAACAAGAAATATATAAATGTACAGGTAGGTATACGTTTTATCCACATAGGTCGAAGTTTTGGGAAACGGGTGATAAAGTATGGGCTCAGGACGGAACGGATTAAGCCCTCAGACGGTGAATAGGTCGAAAACAGGTCTTTTCAAAATTGACTCCACCTTGTTTCAAGTCACGCAAGTGCGAGTAGTTTGTGCCCAAAGCGCAGTAACGCAGTGACCACAAGAAAACAATGGAGCTGTGAAAGCAGTCCAAAATGTTGTTTTTACACCTTTGTAAAATCTTGAAAAGACGAGTCGGGTTCCATACCGACATGTCGTGTTTGTGTAAAGCACCATCGCTTGCAAAATGACGAACCAAGGAAACTGAAACATTAGTTATTCAATATTTTAATGAACTACTTAAGAATAAAATTTGCATTACTTTGAAACAGACATAATGTAAGGATGAATTTAAAATGTTGAATTTTTCAAAGATCTAGTGAATGCAGAGGCAAAATTTCACCGACCTCTCCATACACAACAGCTCTGCGATTTTGTAGCAGTCCATGTGGTTATGATAAAACAATCCACGTTTTTGCAAAGCGGCACAGACACTTCGATAGTCATGTTATACAATCTGCTACGAAACAGTCAAATCTACAATGTGACCCGCTCTGTGAGGATGAGTCACGTCACTAAAGCCACTTTGGAGTTCAAGGCCTTTGAAAGAATTTTGCACTCTGTTTAAAATTAAGCAATAGAAATCCTCAACATTTCAATATCTACACAACGTCCATTTTCATTGTACCAAACTGAATGACACATCAAAGAGAGAGCTCAAATTCCTCAATCTAATACAAAGTGAAACTCAAAAGTAGCTCCGGAGACTTGCGACTCATTTTTACAGAGCGGGTCACAAATACAGTCCAGACAAAGTTCAAATAAGGTCTTCGTGGCAACAAATTATTTCAGCTACAGTACCTGTATTACACAGTGTACATGAAATGACAAAACCTATAGGTTAAAACGCACAGTCACCCCTTCAACTGTTTTCAAAACAAAACCCACATCGGCAGGCATCTATGACAACGGAAAGCTAAATACAGTGTGTCTGCTTTTCAAAATGTTTGTCACATTCTCTGCAAGGAGTCATGTTTAAAAGAGTTGAGAAACAGTTGTGTTACATAGTTATTAAATTATGTCGTGCTTAAAAATATAAAGCTTACTTTTGTAGTAAAAAGTCAGCATGTGGATTAGCTGTACATCATAAAAACAATTTTTTAACAAACCTTGTAAAACTATTTTCAATGCGTTTTTAATAGTATTTTCTACAGTCCTGATGCGGTGACTGAGTCACCTCATTGTCTGCCTTATAACCAGGCAAGATATGGGACGGAGGGGTATCCCCCCTTACGTGTCCAATCCCTATACACACTCTAGACTATTGTTACCTAACACATCCCCCTCGAAGTCTGATTCCCATCAAACAATGACCAACACAAAGGCGGGGGGTTCTCTCCGTCCCATATCTTGCTTCGAATGGTCAGCCTCGCACACATTTCACATTTCTGCCTCGATTTATACCGCATCAAAAGCCGGGTTGTCTACTGGAGTGGCCTTATGTTGTTCTTTGTTGAGTTCAGTAGTGTCCTGCGCCTTCTTTCTCCTGGCCAAATTCTTTTTGATGCAGGAGCAGCTCAGAAGGCGATCGAGGGGCTCCAGGGAGTGGAGAGGTTTAGGAAGGAACTCCCAGCTACGGAGGAACTTGGGAAGGATGCGGGGGAATTTCCGCTGGAGGATGTTGATAACTACGATCAGGATAAGGAAGACGAGAATAGGGATACCGACTGCAAGGAGGGGGACAATACCCGCGATGGACAAGCCGAAGACAATTGCCGGGGCCACGAAGAAGAGCAGGAGGAGATAGAAGATGGCAAACCATCGGTAAGAGGCAGTTGTGTTTCCCAGCGTCTTCGCAAGAAAAATCGGCACTTTCCTCATGAAGGGGATCGGGTACCAGATGATGATGCCGGAGATGTTGAAGAAGAGGTGGCAGAGCGAGATCTGCAACGCGTTACGCAGTGACCCACCCGAGGAGGCTAAGGCGGCCAAGATGCCGGTCGCCGTGGTGCCGATGTTGGCGCCCAGGGTTCAGCGGGTACATGCGCTCCATCGTGATCACGCCGATGCCGACCAGCGGGGTGATGGCCGAGGTGAATATGGAGCTGCTCTGCACGACAAATGTCAGCACTGCCCCGATCAGGATGGCCAAGTAGCCGGTCAAGAATGACAAGTGCCCGGGGAAGTCGGCGTTGATGAACTTTTTGATGAGGACGGCAATGCCCCCCCTCAGCATAGAGTGGAGAAGTTTGACAATGGCAAAGAGGCAGACGAAGAGGATGATGATCGAGACAGCCAGCATGATGAGTCCAACCTCGGTGTCGGTCATGGTGGTATGGGCAAACAGGTGATTGTAGGAGCCTGTAATCAGAGCATGCACAAACCATTTTAGAAAAATACTGAAAACCTAATTTCAAGCACTCAACACCGCGACCGAATACATCCTGTCCACACTCAGACCTTCTGTAAACTTTGGCAAGGAAACATTCAAACTTGCATCAAATCGCAGCTATCGCCAACTGAATGGCATACGTGTATTAGCCGCTGAAATATGACAGAAAATGCAGGTTTAAAATGCGATCTCAGTACTGCCGGTCATTAGATCGAGCGACAGACCAATCAGAGCGCCACGGATGGCATGGCTGATTTTGGTAAGGTAGGTTCAATGCTTTCATTCAGGGGCGTCGTGTGGGGCCGGGTGTGGAACCCCTCTTTAATTAAATCCAGTCGGCAAATAGAGCTTCAGTCGCCAAATGAATCCGAAATCGGTACGCAAGCATGAAATGTAGCGTACTGCAGATTTCCACTTTACACGACACCAGGTCGGCGAATAAGTTAAAAGTCAGCACATTGCCTCTGGCACATCCCCCAAAGAAGCTGTCTTCGCTATGCCCCTGCTTCCGTTATCATTAGGGTCTTCAATGGGTACACAGGCTGATGTAATATTTGAACTGTCCTACAATCCGGCATGTCGGATATTTTGCCCGCTTTAAATTATGAAATTATGAAGTCTGGCATCTTATTGGGTTTTCAAGGTTCACATTTATTTTCGAAAGCCTCAGAAACCACACACATACATACCAATAAATAATTTCGGTATTCCGTGGGGAACTTGATGGAAGGAAACGATTAAAGTCTCAATATTACATGGTACAAAAGAAAAAAAAAGGTTTACTCAATGAGATGCTAAAGAGGAGAAAAAACCTACACTCCGTGTCGTCAGGATCGCACACCTTAAGGAGTCTGACATCGCTTGCGTTGACGATACCTTGAGCAACGTCCGTAATTACTTTTTTGTCAATCTGAAACAAAAGCAAAAACGTGCATGGGGGAGTTTAGTTAATACCGATGCCCTCAAACACGACCTCCATAAATTGTACAAATCCCCCTGAATGAACAAATACAGATTCGTTGTCAAGCCACAGGTGCGGTTAAGTAAGCCATGAACTTGAATGACAGAAGGTAAAAACTGACGTTCTCAAGCAAATTTTAAAGCTTGGGCAATAAACGACACTACAGTGAGGCCATGTGCGCACTAAAAAAACTAAATCAAGTGTGAAGAATGAAGTGACAAAAATACAAAGTCATTGTGTAGCCAGGTGAATCAAAACAACTTTTTAAAAAGGAGGGTAAAATTGACGTTCTATAGCAAATTTACTCGAATCTGAATTTGAAGTACAGTTCCCGTTTCATTCTGAACAGAATACGTGTAGATCATGTTTTCTACAACTTGTTAGTGCCAAGAAATGATTCTGGAGGCCATAATAAGGTAATCACTAATATTTATGCCATTACTTGCTGTAAATAACTTACTGCTTTCTTCATGTTTACAGAAAACGACTGAAATTTGATTTCTGTACCATTTGTCCTCGTCATTGCTGTTATATCTCCTTAAATTGAGTCCATTTTTGTCTCATTGTAGTCACGATGAATTTTGAAAGAGTTCGAATCAGTAATTAAAGTTGTTGATGAAAAACTAATCTGGTACATCAGCGATATTAGTAAATGGAAGTAGACTTTAAAGACAATCCGATTCTAACTCGCCTAGTCTCCAATCTTCTCACCTGGATTATCAGCTTGGTGAAAGGTCCCGTTATGGCTTTCAGAATTTCGAAGTCCACGTCCTGTTCCTGTAGATCCAGGCCCCCGAGAATGGCGTTGGTCAGCGCCTCCAGGTAGTGCGAAGCCACCTCGATGGGCAGGAAGATGAACACCGTCAGCCAGTTGAACATGTCGTGCACCGTGGCGCCGCCAAAGGCCCGCCGGAATTCGTTGCGCTCCTTGGCCTGGCCCAGCGCTACTATGGTGTTGGTGACCGAAGTGCCGATGTTGGCCCCCATCACGATGGGGATGCTCTGCCGGACGCCGACTGCGAGAAGAGGCAATCACGAGACGCCGTGAAAATGGGGCCTGGGCAGGTGCCGTTGTGTCCTTCCATTTTTCGATGGTTTAACAGAAAACGTGGAGGGAGTGGACATATTTTCATCCCCGTTATGTTTAATTTAGATCATGTTGGTAGGGATATCTACACTGCTTTAAAATGTACAGCGCGTATTGATGGGTTGCACAGGGGAGCGAGGCAGGGCCGGCTGTGCACAACAAGGTGCAGAGTTTATGTTTGAGAAACATGAGGTGCTGCACTCAACGGTAACGTAATAAATTGCTTACTAATGGGAGGACTAAATGCAAGAAAACAATATTTCGGACATTAATTTATAATGTTCTTTTGAAACTTACATTCGAGATACTCAAAATACCAGGGGCAAATTACGGTATAGTTCTTGATAAACTTCGAAACTTAATGCACGATAATACATCAGATGGCACGCGTTGCTTTCTGTGGATATTATAATTGGTACAAATAATTTTTGATAATGGGCTTGTGAGGCCATGTCAGCAATGCGAAGACAATTAAGTACACTCACTGATTTCTGCGGACACCATAGCGACTACGATGGAAGTGGAGGTACTAGAGCTCTGTACCAACACGGTGACGAGCACGCCGATCATGAGCCCGCAGACGGGATTGCTGAGCAGGAAATGGTCGTTGAGCACCTCCCCGGCCGCCACGCCTCCCAACAGACGGAAGGCCGTGCTCAAGAAGTCCAGGGAGCAGATGAACATGTAGAGGAACCCCGAGAGGAGGATCACCTTGACGATGATGAGGACGATGAAGCGTGCGCGTTTAGCGCTGGACAGATCTGCAAAGATACGCAAAGACAAAGTTAGGGCACAGTCAAATCAACTGTGAAAAACAAAATGACTAGCAAGCCGTTAAAACGTGCGAGAATAGGAGACGCATGCGTCCATTTGATGTGGTCATTTTGTCGTGGTCATTCTGTCAGGCACAGTATACTAAAGCACTATTTCATCACATTTGAAAGTAGTGATTTCTTCAGAGATATTATAGGATTGTGGGCCTGGTCATAAGGAATAAATAACCAAACAAAGCGACGATAAAATGGCTTCTTCCTAGTCACGTGAATCACAAGTCTACAGTACTGTGAGGTTAACGTTGAGGTACATAATACAGGTAGACATACATTTCAGATTTCAAGTAAATATATCATCATTGTGAAAATGATTTGACAGGTTTTGCGGTACCACAGAAATTGTAAGCCTAGAACTTGATGAATTATTTGCACTTATACTATTCACAACAAAATATGAAACGGAACGTAATTATTCTATGGAAACGTACTGGCCCATTTCTCCCCCTCCCGTAATTCGGGGAGAGTAGCTGCCCAGGGATCGTCATCCTCTTCCTTCAGTCCCTTCTCCTCGTCCTGTGGCCACTCCGAATGATAGTCGACCCCTCCATTCACGGGTCCAGGGGCGTCGATGACTGCAAGGCCGTTTTTCTCCTCCAAAGCAACCTCTTGCACTTGACAAAGGCTAGTCTCCGTCTGTCGCGATAAAAAGTCGCGATAAAAACTTTATACTTAATGTAGGCCAAACTGAGTAACTGCGTTCTCATGTTTTCTGGATACCCGCGACGCAGGAAAAACTAGTACTGTTGCGTACACTTTTGAGACTCTGATCAAATTGTGCGACGGTCGACAGTTAGTTTCTTTTTTCTGGCGCCTTGAGGCAACCAAAAAATGGGATAACACTATGCGCGGAGTAATTTACATGTATGGTGACAAGTCACTATAAAAGTGTAGTCTGGACAGGAATTCGTCATCTGTGTTACCGACAGGCACCCGGCACGACACAGTTTTTTGTTTGTTTGTTGTTGTTTTTTAGTATATAAGATAAAATGAATGAAGAAATTCTGTGACTAATTAAAATTGTCAAATCTAGTCTTAGGGAGTTGCAACTTATCAATACGTTTGCAAGGTTTTAACTTGAAAAGGTTTTTTCATCCTACAAATGTCACCGAGGAAGTTGTAATCCTTTCATTAGATCCTAGCACAGTTTTTGCCATACTACTTGATTGTAACAGAAGCAACTTGGAGATTACTGTCACTGAATTTTCATCTAGTTGATTAGTATCTTTGATGTAAATATTGTTAAAAGAACAGAAGAGAATTAAAATGGGTTGTCTATCAGTTGGTGCGCCTGCCTGTCGGTATGCCCTCCCAAAGTTGGAACCAACTTGTGACGTGGAATGGTTAAGAATCGTGATCTTCCTTTCAACCACCTGCATCTGCAGCCTCGCTGGGAAAACTGTCATCTTGCACATGAGTCTATTTCTCCTAACCTCACATAACTTCGCCTCCGCCCACACTGCAGCGTCACGGCGGAGAGCCACGTTGAAAAGTGGCAGACGGAAGTCATTAAGCTGACCCGTTATTCTGGGAAGCCCTAACTTGACCAGTCATTCAAAGCTCAAGGCCACCAGTCTAAGGGAGTGCAGTAAAACTCCGGACAATATGATAAATTGCGATCTGCCCCTTTAACTATCATCTAAGATCTCACGAGAAAACTCTGCTTCTTCTCATTTCTCCTACTCAGGTTGAGATTGGCCTCACCTTCACCCCCTATTGTGGCGTCACCGCAGAGAGAGCGACTTTTGAAACGTGACCAATGCCAGATGGCAATCCTCAAAATCACCCGTCATTTTTTTGAAGCCTCAACTTGACCCGTCATTTTGTCGGCTTTTGCGAGACGATATTCATGATCCCCCGGTACCGCGGGGCGTGGGTGCGCGTCCCATCAAGACCACCATCTGTGTTTTCCAAACCACTGCATGGGGCTTCGTTTCAGAGGTAAATTAGCTAAATTTGTTCAACTAGATGGAGTCCTTAAATTAATTGTGGCAGGTGGGACAGTTTCTCAACCAGCTTTGAGTTTCTGTAAATTCCATTTTGGTCTGTTAGTGTGGAGTTTGTGTGGATAAAGACCTAATGTGGTTTTGTCAGACCGGTAGGATCAGACACCAAACCACGTGATATTACGTGTCTTTATCAAATCAACGAAAAAAATCACAACTTCATTTCAATTTGAGAAAACGAATATCTGCGACTTGAACGTTTGCAAAGGGGTTTTCTGTGTTTTGGAGAGATAATATTGTGATGGCCTTTCTTCGGCGTGAGTTTTTCCTCCAAACATTTCGAATTCAAAACCACCGTGTCTGCCGCTTTCACTGTGCATGGCTGGTAGCGGACCCAAAGTGTACTCTCCGTTTACTGGAGGTGTTTGTTTAGCCTAGTTGGTGCAATTGTCCAATTGTCCTTTTATATAATATAGTTTATGGTCTATAATTCTTGGGGTCACTTTGCGTTATTGTTCCCGTTCGAAGGAATAAAACCATTTCTTGTAAGTCCTTCCTATGCGTCCATAGTCAATGCAATGGTTCTCATATTTTGGGCCTTGAGAGAGAGCCGACGAGGGGGAGGTAGTAAAAATAATTGCTCGTTTTGAGAAATTTGTAAGTTATCATTTTCTCAGTTTTGGTAGGAAATTTCTCGGTCGGAGCCAAAAAATAAGGGTCAGCTGAAAATGCCAACCATACAAATACGGCCGTTTCACAATAGTGCGCCCTCCAAGAGTTTGCACCGCGTTGGTCAATCACAATGCGCGAAAGTTGTCGACCCAATGCGCGTTTAGAAAGGGTCGGCAAATTTCGAGCGTTGTGATTGGCCAAGGCGTTGCAAACTCTTGGAGGTGCTCTATTGTGAAACGGCCGTATTAACGACGGATTTAAGCCCAAATGACAAGACAGTGGTGAACATGAACAGCTTGGATGTGATTTTTCTACAAAAATGGAAAGATGATTTGGGTGGATGAGATACTGGAGACAGAATGCGATTTTGGCAGGCATCGTCTAAAGTCACCTCTGAACCAGAGGGGGGAGGGGCAAACGTTCGTGTCTACAGCTCTCCTCTTCAACGTATGACTAAAAAAAAAGTGAGTGAGACCAGCTTGTGGACTTTTGGAGGTTTAAGAAAGTGAAGTAATAATTTCAGGCTGTTTGTTTAGTGTCTATAAAATTATCTTAAATGAACGAAGCGTACTTTCACAATTATTGACGTACCACTTTCTATCTCACATTTTCTGAAAAAAAGTTAACAATAATCTGGAGAAATTTGGCCAGATTAAACCAACTTCGTGCACGCACTTTCATTTTATTGCTCCTCGTCGCGCATTTCTCGTTGCCTCCAAGCGCAAGCTTGGCATACAGCAAATAATGCAACAGGCGTATGAATGCACGATTACGTAATGTGCAGTTGACCATTATACTTTACAATCAGATGCAAGTGGCACATCAAGTTCCCGAACCCATGGCTTATTGAGTTACAAACGCGAATACCTATGAACAAAAAATCTATTGGAAGGATATACCTTTGTTTGGCACCACCTGACCAACTCATTTACTTACTGGTATGCCGTTATACTCATCCGTACAAAACGGTTAAATGGATAGTAGCTCACTAGAGCAAACTACTTGTAAATGAGACGCCTTATTTTTTTTTAGGTTGTTTACTCGTACAAGTAAAACGGGTCCTACGAATGACCAAATTCCCTTCCCAAGCCCAAATTGTTTTAAATTTGCGTCAATCTCCCCACGCGAGGTATAAACCTAATACAGTTGGTGTGATGTGTCCTCGGGATGCTTTGCCGACTATACCAGTCAGATACAGATTGAAAAATACGAAGTGTCACTCTTCGTTTATACTCCTCACCACTTATGGCATGAATGAAGCAATGGCATGAATTCAAACACTGAGAAAAGGAAAGAATGTGCCTGACGTTTGCCAAGATGGCATGTTTTACACGTACTTTTGTACAGCTCTGCTGAACTATTTGAGGCATTTGCAACATTTTCAGCACCGATTTTCTCCGTTTACAAAATCGCAATGAATAACGCCTGCAAGTTACATGTCATGATGCGAACAGTTGTCAAAACTTTTGCATTGCATATAAAATAACCCCTGAAGATATATAAGCCTATATATAGGCCTGTATAAGCAACACGGCTAGAAACGACGTTAACAAAATGTTTCCTCTAGACAACTGTCTCAGAATAACTTTCAATTATTCGACACGCTTATTTTAGCCTAACAATAGTATAATGGTGATTAAATTAATGTATACACTACTTTTTTCCTGTATCGTAACATTTGAAGGTTATGGTTAAAACGAGAATGATTGTGTCAAACTTACCACAGAAGTCATCTTTGGTTCGAAACTTCCAAAGGTTGAAAGAACTCAAACCGACAAGACTTTGGTGCCTGCAAATTGCAGACTCATGGCTTATATACTGCGGTCCTTGGCCATGATCAGGTGAGCGCCAGCTCTGAGTGGTACTCGTGCGTGGGGGACGACTCCAACTGCAGAGGTGGGGGATAATTATTTGCATTGTTTGCAAAGGTGGTGTTTCAGAAAAATCTGTAAACTCCTTTTCTTTGATTGTAAGAATGAGCAGAGGCTTGTTCAAGCATTATTTGAAAACCTTGGTTTTTTTTAAATTTCGGGATCTATAGCTTTCAAGTTGATTAAACGCGTTCTTAGCAGATTCATGAAGTTACCCATCTTTGTTGTTGAATGGAATCTTCCACCGGCGCGCTTCTGCTTTCCATGACAAAAGACGGTGTACGCCGAAATGTGGACTCTTTGAAACCGGATTCACTGACATTGGCGTCCATCGGCGCGCTTTGCTTTTCATGACAAAAGACGGTGTACGCCGAAATATGGACTCTTTGAAACCGGATTCACTGACATTGGCGTCATGGGCAAGTGGTGCCCCCCCCGGAAAAAATGAAAAACAAACAAGAGAGAAGCGAAGAAAATGAGAGAAAAGGAGATGAAATTAGGATTTTAATAATTAGCAATTCGTTTGAAAAAATGCAAAATTGCACCCAATCTCTTGTTTATCAATGCGTATCTTATGAGTGGTTCCCCCTTTTGGAAATGCCCCCGAAAACTTTGATTCACCCTCCCCCTGAAAAACATCTAGTGACCCTGATGTTCACTGACGTCCTGCATATTACATTAGCTGAGTCGCAAACCAAACCACTAACAGGCATGCAGGGGCTTTGAGACTAACTTTGACAACAGATGCCGGATTTCAGGGGTTTCTGAAGTTCATTTAACCGCGGCACACGTGTGGCAGTTGAACGTGCATGGCTCATTTAGTGTGGCAGTTCCCACCAGCGTGGAAATAAGGGAATATGAAATTCCGCAGTAATAATGGTGATTTTGTTGCAGTGGGGTAGTGTTTCACGTGACAGCCAAGAGACTGGCACGTGATCAGCAGGCCTTCCTATCGTGACTGATGACCTATTGTTGTTGCCCCTATTTACAGAAGAATAGCGTGCTGGCTGCAAACGCCCTTCGAGCCTGTGTACACATTAGTCAGTGAGTTACGTCGTGATTGCCGTTCACGAATAGCGCACTGAGCTCTTGGGAATCAGGCTGTCGGGGTTCCGCAACGTCACGGTGACAGCCTATAGTTTAAAATAACCAAAACATTTATCCAAGCGTACCACCAGGATTTCAACAAGTCTTGCTCCAAAAAGTTCAACCGGGATACAATATCTCCTTAATGGAACTACCATTTTCCTGGAGTAATGATCCTACGTGGGCAAGAGACTGCTAGTTAAAGGAAAGTGATTCCAACTCCAGGTCACTTTTGTTATAGTAAATTCGAGTAAGTTCGCCACCCATGCAAAGTACACCCTGAATTAAAAGCCAGCTATCAAAACACCACAATAATACACGCAAAATACAACCCTTTTTAAAATTAGTGGTATAAATGTAAATTTCGAACGAGTTTTGGGTAAAATCGAAAATCAATTAAAGGGTTATTTTTCTACAAACTTTGGCCGCCCGCACAACTTATGGGCGAAATGAGAGTGATCTCAGTATCGTGCGTGCTCGCAACAAATGGCTCATTTTATTATCCCTAAAGGAAAAAACCGAACCTTTTTCGGTTTCTGCAAAGCACCGTTATGCCAATTAAAACTAACGGTCGAACAACCTCAGGATCGAAGCAAATGTGCTTGGTTTTAAAAGACGCAGCAGATCTTCCGATTCAAGGAAAATAATTCAGTGATTTATATTCTGGAATATGTCCAATCATTGCATCATTTGCCAATTTTACAATTACCGTCTTCTCAATATTCAACACTGCATTTTTCGTGGATGCAATGTGGGGAGTATGGTCAGACGAACATTCGTTTTCATCGTCGTAATTAAAATCCTGCTCGAAGAAGCAGGAAAAGAGTAAACTTGCGTCTTGTTTTCTCTTGTATGCAATATGTGTCGAGAATTCAGCTTTATCTTGCTGGAAACTCTATCTCAGAATTGTGTGCTTCTTGAATATTACAGTTTGAATATCACAAAATTTAACGTAACATTGAAAAGATATAAATTTTCAGTAGAATACAGATAGTGTGATATTCAGATGTGATTTCACGTCGGCGTTGGGTTATATTTGATTTTCTAACACGATCCAATAAAAAGACTTGTTCGGATGTAAGGCCTACCACCAATTAACTATAGCGTAAAACAGATGGTGGTAAATGTGCCTCTTTTATAGACCAAGTAAGAAAAAGGAAATAAGTTGGATAATGCAGATGTCTGTCTTTTCCTTTACGGCGTCGACAGACTGAGCAAAATGTCCCTTACATGACCCGAAGTTCCCGCGGTTTTTCAATGCAGGGGGCCGTCCTGCATGGATTAGCCGCAGCTATAACAAAACCGATGTGGGCACATGCTACCCTCATGATCAGGAGCATACAATAATATAGGATTCTAACAAGGATTTAGGGATCCTGGAACTGCGTGGCAGGTTTTTTAATTATTTTCTACGTCTGGAAATGTGATTTATGTGATTTTTTTAATTTCATTTATTCAAAAGGGTACCGTGAGAGGAAACAGACTCAAACGGCATCTCAATAACTTTTAAGTGGAACATTTAGTGTAGAAACAATGGAACAGCGTTTAGAATTGCATATTTCATCGATCATATTTATTGCATTATAATTGTCTGAGATGTAAGAACGCTGTTACCGTGAAATCAAGCATGTACTTTTGTCCACTGTGGGAACTTGTAAATGCGTTGCCAGACTACCTGACTTGAACTAAAAAGTGATCTGATGGATATGTGAACATCTAATTCAAAAAAATGCAAAATTCTTATGTTCGAATGGGTGCAAAACTCAATGAATTCATCGCACACAGAAAACAGTAAATTCCAGACACGTTGATGGTGCCCGCTGGATATGGAACTATTTCCTTCATCACAGCGTCCACATCTTGGAGCAACATTTTGCAATGTGTCTTTGCGGCGTGTCTGTTGGTCAGCGTACATGCAGCTCGAAGAGACAGCCAGATTTGGAGCCCCTTGACAATATGATGAGAGGCCGAACATTCACTTGTCCATGGGCAGGTGATGTCACGGATAGATTACGGCAACGTCCTCCGGCCTCAAGTGAACTTCCTGCCAAAGTACAGTAGTCGACAAGTTTTAAATAGAGGTCCGGAGTGCGAGTGCTCAAATCGAAAGATCTCCTCCGGAACTGACGGACCCGCATTTGCCGCTTGTCTGCCGGTTAGTGGAGTACAAAGTCACTGTCGATGTCCCGACCTTCAAGGCTGTGCATTGCGCCAAGCACAGGAGTATACCTTGACACGTCGCCGGTATTGATAAGCAATGCTCGCAGCACGCGACACCTCTACGTGCGTCTGACACTAAACAGTTGTGACTCATAAGGACAAGCAATTTTGGGACAGCGGCTGCATCCTCGCTGTCTGGGCACTTAGTTGAAACAACCCAGTAACTTAGAACCATATTTTTAAAGCTGAAGTTTCTTGTAAAGGCATTTAAGTCTCCTTTTTTAGCGATCTCTAGTCAACTGGAATTAAAACCAACAAAAATTGACACATTATTTAAACCAAACTAGTCAATTAGACTCTGTTTTCTGCACCATGCTGGCTCGTTTCTAAACATTGAAAGGGGGGAATTGGGATTTCTAGTCAACTGGTCAGAATAAAAACAAACAAAAATTGGCAAACTGTTGACAGATTTAAGGAATCTTGGAGTGAAATTTCTCAAAGCATCCAGTGACTCACATTAGCTTGTCACACGTCTTAAAAATCATGCGCGTTTGCCTTCTCCAAGCTTTGGTACTGCAAACAACAAAGTTACGCTTTTACCTAGTTTTGCCTGGATAATGCGGTACATCTGACACACAAAGGATGCTCTTGTGCACGTGTCCGTCACCACCACTCTTCTCTATTGACAGCAGGCCTTGGATCAGATCGAGTCAAAAGTCAAGATTTGACAGTCTGCGATTGATGTTAAGACTATTATAGCATTTAGAACACGTGTCTTCAGAAGAAAAGTAAAAAATATTCATGTCCACCACTTCACCGCTCTGTGAGCATGTGCATAGTACACATCTGTTGTGATGCAAGATCGGTTCCTCCCATTTGCTTCTTGTACTCAATGACGGTACAGTGTATTTGGTTTGCTGATGTCACGATAACCTGTGGGACAGTTTTTACACCGAATCTGCTTATTAGTTACATTACAGTTGCCATAGTTTACTTTTTATCCTGCCATACAACACACAGTTGTCCTGACTTTTCATAAAAGCAGGGTTTATCTCCTTTAGCCATAGGAAACTTTTGGAGGTTGCAAAATGTGGAATTCCTTGAGTCTCGTATCGCACAGTTCCACAAAAGCCAAAGCCTAACTACGAACAAGAGCAGGGCTGGTGTACCAATTATCAGCAAAGATGCAGTGTCCCTGATTTTCAAATCCGTCAACAAGTTTCAAAACAACTTGACCAGGTCGAGGTACTGCTGTGGGATCAGCTACACTGTCTAGCTGTCTCCGAGTCGGCACTTGATATCTGTGCTTGTGACCCTGTGTACACTGTCCTGGCGCGTGTGTACCCCGTTTCAGATTCGTTCAAGGAGAAACACTTGATGCCCCATTTGATTAGATTTCTTGGCATATCCTGTATGAATGATAGTCTCCCCTTGAATTTGATCATGGCCTCGTCAGGAGCAAGGTTTTGACCGGGTCTATAACTACGAAGAAACGAGGGTACTGTTGTCTGGACGACTTGGCGGACTTTTGTCAGCTTGTCAGGAGTAGTGCCCATTTTCGGAGCTGCTTGGTTGTTGCTCAGATGGACGAATTTGAGAATTGCCATGAATCTGTTGCGAGACATAGTTGTTGTATAGATGGCACCGTGTACAATGTTCCAGTTTCTCCTGTAGGCCTACATGTTGTAGTGAGGCTG